AATGTCTGTGGTAGGGCCGGGTGCCAATTCACAGTGGTCTCTGGTATTCAATGCAGCGAATGTAAGATTTAGTTTCACGACAACTACACAAACCTCACACCCCCAGCAAATAAGAGGTACAGCAACTCAGGAAGTCTCTGGCTTCGCACGTCGTGCTGCTCGGCTATTTGCAGTCTGGTAGAAGAAGCAAAAACACTTCTAAATACGATCACTAAGAAACTGCCGTCGAAAGTCAAGGTCGATAACTGTGATAGTGATAACAACGCAGCATCCATCGACACAGATTGTTGTGCAAAATTTTAAGAACGTCTCACGACAAGCTGTAAGTCTGACGCGTAGACTTCCTACTAGGTTTACTGACAGTGACTTGGAAAAAACTACACCAAGCAAGATGAGGCGAGTATCTTCTGGTTCTCGCATCCCCAGAGCTGGCAAATTCAGTCTAGGTCTACTTCAGATGAAAGAAACATGAGTGAAGCACTCTCAATGCCAACTACGAAACCATGCATGTGGCAGGTTATACCCAATCCGACGACCCAATCATTGAGAATAACTAAACAAAGTCGGATGCAAGTCCGTTCTGAGGCTTTCAGCGTCAAGGTCAATGGACTAGGCTTTAGTAAACCTTGCATACCTGACTGAAAAATGGCAAGTAACTAAGTCTAAACAGTATGCTAAGAAGACAATAACAGTCACCGAACCAGCTATCATCACTCCACAGAGAAAAGACAATGTAGAGATCCTTGACAGGTCCGTAATCTTCTACAAAGTGGAAGAAAGTAGAGACCCAGAACCACGTAAACGTTTCGAACATGATCTCTGCGAGGTACAAAGTTTGATAAACCAGCTTTTACCAGAAAAAATGCCAGCAGTCACCCTACTCAAGATATATAGAGTAGGCAAACAGGAGACAGTCATCACTGAAAATAAGCTTTGGCTACTTAAAGTCGTGTTCAAATCAGCAGATGAGAGGGATCAGATTCTGAAGAATGTTCACAGACTTCAAGGATCTTGTGTTCGTGCGAAAGGATCTGACCCTTGCTGATCGAATCGAAAGATGAGGAGCAGAAGTAGAACTAAAATCAAGAATAGCAGCAGAAGAGCAAAATCTGAAGGTAGTGGGTTTTCGTGTAGTGAGGCTTCTGCAACAAACGATGCCGAATCCTCTATGGATAGAACGGAAACTGGTTTAGGTGGTTTTCTTGTCTTTTACACAAACGCATATAGTCTTTTAAACAAGTGGACTGCGCTTAGTGATGTGATAAGCAACGAAAGTCCTGACATCATTGCGATCTCAAAAACTTGGCTTTCTTGGATCAGCAACTGTGAAACACATGATGGTTCGTCCCTTTTAGAAGTGACAGGTTAGCATGCAAAGGTGGTGGTGTCATTCTTTACGCTAAGAATAACAACTACAAAAGCCATAGACACAGGTGCACATGAAAATGAAACGTGTGAAATGCTGTGCTGTTGACTAAGATGCAAGGGACAAGATGTCAACGTAATCTTGATATATAGAAGCCATGAATATAAGGCAGCATTCTTCCTCCTGAATAAGCTGACCCTCTGGACAGATAAATGCCGATGCCTAGTTGTAGGAGACTTTAACGCACTATCAGTCGACTGTGCTAGACTAACAACAAAAGCACCACATAACTCGTTTGATCACAGGTTACTGTAAACATCAATTTCCTTAGCCCTCACACAGCACATTAGGACAGCGATCACATATGATAATCAGCATGTTCTATCAGTTCTAGACTTAGTATTCTCACACAGAGATGATATATGCTTCATCCGGAAACCCTTGGTAAGATTGATCACGCTGTGATCATTTTCAGATTCACAGCAGACGTCTTTTACTAGGCCGATGCCCCAGGTAGACCCAACATATGGAAAGTGAATATGGAAGCTACTAGTCTGGCAACCTCTTGGGATGACTGGACAGTCAGTCCAGAAGCCTAAACTGAAGGTGTATGGTGCTCCTTGAAACAGTTATATGCATAAGCGACTCAATCGTTCATTCCATGGACTGTCCCGAGGGGACAGAAGCACTGTCCTCCGTGGATAAACCACGAAAACCCGAATCTTGCTACGACGAAGGAAAATGTGTTGGCGTTTTGCCACCCACCTCGGTACACCGGAAGTGGTGAAGCATTACAAAGAAGCTCGCAATAAATGTATCGCTGCTATATACGGATCTCGAATATGCTTCGAAACTTGTCTTGCCCAGGCTGCGTTGCAACATCCGAAGAGGTTATTTTCCTATATGAACTACAGAAATAAGATGTGTCGTGGTATACCCATCCTAATCGAAAGGACCGGGACTGTTTGATTGAGGAGGATAGGGAAAAAGCAGAAGCCATGGTTGGATAATTTGCTGACGTCTTGACACAGGAATCTTCTGTGGACATTTATCCAACAGTGAAAGCATTGACATCCAGCAGAATGAAGTCTGTGGATATCGATCGCTATGATATATTTCGGATATTAGGTAATCTCGAGGTGGAAAAATCAGCGGAACGGGATGAGCTGCACTCAAGGCTGCTCAGAGAGCTTGCACTCTATTTAGCCGGCCCATTGACTACTATACTCAAACTGTCTCTCAGTGAAGGTACACTCCTCCATGACTGGAGGGATGCATAGTAACGCCTATCCACAAGGCAGGTTCTAAGCAGCTCTCATCTAATTGCAGACTGATAAGTTTAACTAGTACTGTACTGGAAATCCTAGAAAGAGTAATCAAGAAACCAATCACAGTCTACCCATAGAGCAGCACTCTATTGTCTTTTTGGCTGCATTGTGTTCTCTGAGCAGCTCAGAGAAAACAATGCACCCAAGACCATCCACCTGAGCTACAAACATTCTCCATTATTACTCTATTGTTTTTTTCACAGCGTGGCTTTGCAGAAATTTCTCTTGCTTGATGAACCTACTTAGGGTCAGAGAAAGTTGGGTTAAGTCTAAAGATAATAGGATACCTGTAGATGTCATTTCATTGACTTTAATAAGATGTTCAACAAGGCACCTCATTCCAGGCTACTTGGGAAACTGGAAAGTTTTAGAATCACTGGCACTCTGCTTGCATAGTGACTTCGTTGTCGGTAGAAGACAGAGAGTAAGGATAAATTCTCAACTGTCCTTTGGAGTTCGGTGGAGAGTTGAGTGCCGTAAGGCGCAGTCCTGGGACCCCTGTTGTTTCTCCTATACGTAACTGAGCTGCCAAATACAACAAAATCTCCTATGGTTCTATGCGCTGATGATGTGAAAATCTGGCGGGGAATTAAAAACGATGAGGATGTATGTGAGCTTCAGGCAGACCTAAACCGCCTGTTTACCCGGTCTGAGAAGTAGCTGATGCCTGTCAATGCAGGTAAATGTGTGAGCACGCACTTGGAGCACACACATGGCAACATCTGTGATATTGATGGGACTCTACCGTCAGTACTGATCCACAATGACCTAGGAGTCACAGTGAGTTATGACTTGAAAACCACGGCTCACTATCGATTGGTAGCAGCTCGGAGTCTTACGACTCTCTGGGTATTACGTAGAACGTTTACGAAAACAAATAGTGACATGTTCACCATCTTATAGACATTCTTAGCTAGGTCTAAATTAGAAAACTGTACACAGGCGGCTAATCCTTATCTGAAGGGTGACGCAGACCTTCTAGAAAGAGTTCAGAGGGCAGCCACTCGTATGATCCCTGAGATGGCTAGCCTCACATATGAAGATCGACTTAAGGAGCTGAACCTCTTCACTTTGTTCTATCGCAGATAGAGGGGAGACCTAATCATGCTATACAGGATTCTAAGAAATGACTTCGGACCTGATCTATTTTCTCTTTTACTTCTCAATAGGTCGGAACACCTCAGAGGACATAGTAAGAGGCTAAAAAAGCAAAGAACGAACATAGTCTCCGCAGAGTGCTGGTTCTCGCGTAGAGTAATCAACGGTTGGAACCGATTCCCAGAAGAAGTGGTATCCACATCAATTGACTCGTTCAAAAGGGGATTAAACAAGCACAGAAACCTACTAGAAAAGGATTAATATAGGATCCTAGCCTCATATCCTCGAAAAAAATCTGAGCTCTGTATTCGTTGAATACCGCTTCTGTCCTCAAGACCTGCACTGACACAAAGATATTAAGATGCGATAAATTTTAAAAAGTTTGTAAAACGTATTCCGAACATTATTAGTTGAATAGTTTCAGCATAATGTTTGGTCAACACACAAAGTTGGTGTCATAATACCAGCCAATAAAAATGATTAAATCCTTCAACATTCGTTCTCCGTTCTATTGCACACGAAGCTCAACCATCGGATGATCGTGTGAGGTCAAATAGCTCAAGTCTGACCAAAGCAAGTGAAATACTCTCCATTGTAAAAAATACACCTCAAAGAATACAGTTTTGATAGCAGTTCAATTCTCCTCTACGTATTTAATCCTACTGTACACTCATAGTGTGTGTGGAGACCACTGGACATAGAAGTGACTCTCTTTAAAGCAAAATGATACCGATTTTTCATTTCACATGAAATGGTTATTAGTCTTCTCTCTATTTGATAAAAATGGACAGACGTTCAATTTTACCAACAGGTGATCGGAAGTTTTGTGAATTCACTGGCTGCAACAGCGTCTGAAAGACAATTGCAAGTTATTCATTGGAAAGTATTAGGTTTTCCTTGCCATACTATTAGCTTTGACTTAGATAGCAAGACAAATGTTTGTCTTCTGCGATATCTGACCGCTCCTAAATGCCTGAGATTAAGGAGCAAACCAAACGGCAGGAAACAATTTTCAATCATAAAATGTGACAAATCAAAATCTATCAGTTTCCTATGCTCGCACTACTGATGTTCAATGTTGTTGGAGAGAACGTAAATAAGAGTTTTGTGAAAATAAAGACATATTTTACAATAACTAGCAGGATAAGATGATGTATTCTGTATGAATAAATGTGAAATTTGATTGAAGATTCTCTAATATAGTTTACCTTATAAAACTTTCCTTGATATAATACTCGGTGAAAGAACATAAAGGTCAAAAACCTGTTTCTTGTAACCTTAGATGTTATTTACGTCACTACTAGATTCAAACAAAATGCCCATGGTCAATATATTTTTACTAGCTTGTATGGACCAGCTGGTTTCTTGGTTCTTGTTTCGAGATCTTGGGGTTGACTCGGGGTGAACCAGTTCCTCTTTTTTTATTTCAGTTATTTTTCAATATAAACACAACTCGTCATAACTAAAGAAGCTGATATTGTTATGCATTGCCACTTTCGATCCTTAGGCCTGTTTCTTCCTGTTTAGTTGTACTAGGTATGTGAAAGAGAAAGTCTTTTATGCATCTGAAGCGTCACACACTTCCCCGAAATCAATAGCCTAGGGTTTGACGAGATTTAACATTGATGCTGACCTTGATAGTTCAACTGGACCCGCTAAGCTGAAGGCACCCGGTCAACCATTCTCGCCATTTGGCACGCTGTCGTGTTACGTTGCACTCCTCAAAATCGACTCCAGCCAGCTAGTTGGAATGCATCGGTATCTTGGCACGACCTCGCAAATATCCGACTACACTATCGTGTTCCTTCTTGGTCCCGTATTCGTGGGTATATAACGAATCCGAATAATTGGTGATTGGCCTTTGCATCTGTCAAGTTCGCACCAGGGCAATTCCTGAATCGGTGGGCCCGAAGTGATAACATATCCCGGCCAATAACAAATCTTAAATTGGTGAGCCTGATCCGTTTTATACTTTTATATTGTTTTCATTTTTGTAACCTTTATACATCCACACACAACTCTTTCTCACTTCCGACCATAATCAGAAGCTTGTCCGTGTTAAGTCGACTACGAACACTATCCAACTCGTGCCATATTGGCCAGACAATGAATAAACATGGTTTCTGTATGCCGACGCAGATTTTCGAGAACAAGGAGTCGTAGATCTTCATTCTCGATTTTTGCCGTTATACGTTCACTACCGCGAGGATTAAACAGGCATGTTACAGCACGTGTGTTTAGTCCTGAAGTAAGCGACTTTTATGCACCTCTCAAGGCCGCACTCTTGAAGAAAAGCGATCTCACGGATCGCCAGCGCCTAGATGAATTGCTTCGTAACACGAGCTAGTCAGCCACTCAGCTACTGAAGTCCTTCCTTGCACTCATGCGAGAAGTTGTCGGCGCACAAACATTCGACGATGGCTTTTTCAGAGAACTTTTTCTCTCGAAACTACCACATTTAGTGCAAACCGTGTTAGTGACACTTCAGTCGGTCCCGCTCGATGACCTGGCAGCCTCAGGGGATGAAACACTGGAGATCTCTGGCAGACCCGTCTCCAACGCATATTCTGTCTGCGACAAACCAGACAGCCGGGATTCGGAGGTGGCCAAGCTGTGCAACTCTGTTAAACAGTCGCTACGAACTCGAAGTACTAGTTCACGTAACACTTCACACAAACGCATCGCAGCAACCCGCGTGGCTGTCCAAAAACAAAACTTAACAAGGTGGAAAAACCTGAATGGTGTTGGTTTCATAATACTTACGGAGACGAAGCCAGAAAATGCCGGAAGCCATGCAGTTTTAACAAGGACACAAACTCCGGAAACTGTCACGCCGGCACGTGTCCACGGCAACCGTAGCCGGCGGAAACAGCCGGTATGAAGACGGGAGTTTGCTACCTCGTCGACACCGGCGCAGAAGTTAACGTTCTTCCCGCAACGACAAAGGAGCGTCATCATGACCCATCCTTCAATCTTCAAGCAGATAACGGCAGGGCAGTCGCGGCATTCGGGATAAGGTATGCCTACCCCAACCTAGGTTTACGTAAACCTATTCACCGGATTTTCTTCCTGGCTGACGTTTCTACGCCCATCATTGGCATAGATTTGCTAAACCACTACGACTTACTCGTAGATGCTCGCCGTCGACGTCTGATTGATAACAACACAAAGTTATCTACTGGCGGCACCATCTATGTAGGTCCGAGTTTAGCCATCACTAGAACCAAACAATCAAGCGACGCGTCCTACCAAGCAGTTTTGGAGTTTCAGGTACCGAAGCACACTCTTCCGTGCATAACCAGCAATGTTGTGCATCACGTCACAACCACAGGTCCGCATGTGGCATCCAAAGCGCGCCGTCTAGCCCCCGATAGGCTCAAAACGGCGAAGAATGAATTCGGCCACATGTTCGAACTGAGCATTATCAAACCGTCAAACGGTCCTCGGGCATCACTATTGTGCATGGTTCCCAAAAAGGATAACAACGACTGGCGTCCAACCGGTGATTGCCGAAGGCTTAACGCCAAAACGACACCGGACTGCTACCCGATACCCCATGTTTACGACCTGACTGAGACGTTATAGGAAATGAAGATTTTCTCGAAAATCCATTTGGCAGAGAGTACAATCAGATGCCTTGGCAGCAGAAGATATCGCGAAAACAGACATTAATACTCCTTTTGGTCTGTTTGAATTCCTGCGCATGCCATTTGGTCTTCGGAATGCAGCACAACACTCCAACGCTTTGTGGATGGTGTCTTCATGATTTAAACTTTGTCCACGTCTACATCGATGACTGTCTAGTTGCGAGTCCAGATGAGGAAACTCACCTTAAACACTTGGACCTCGTTTTCGAAAGACTGAAAAACCATGGCATCACGGCCGACTTGCAGAAATGTGAGATAGGAGTTGAATCACTCAGCTTCCTTGGGCATACCACTGACAACAGATGCATACGCCCGTTGAAAAGTGAAGTGGCGGCTATCGAGAGCTATCCACAGCCGACCACTACGAAACATCTCCTAACTTTCAATGGCCTGGTAAGTTATTACCGAAGGCTTATTCCCAACTGTGCCTCCGTCATGAGACCACTCGCACGTCTACTTCGTGAGAATACAAAGTGCATGACTCTGGACAGCGTGGCTAGACTTGCGTTCTCTAAAGTCAAGGAAGCCATTTCAAACGCAACCATGCTTATGCGTCACGACCCCAATGCTCCTTTGAGTAATGCTGTTCATGTATCTGACCCAGCAATTGGAGCAGTTCCGCAGCAGTCGACTGACAGGCAGCGGAAACCTTTAGCCTTTTTCTCGAGGCGGCTGCAAGATGCGGAAACATGATATGGCACATTCGGTAAGGAACTCCTAGCAATGCACGCCATTTTTTACATTCATTAGAAGGTTGTGATTTCATTATTTTCACAGACCAAAAACCGTTAACCCCTTGATAATAGTAATATTTATTCCTGAATATACAGGCACACGCCATTTTCACAGGCATGAGTAAGTCCATACACAGATTACATTCATCTTCACGGAAGGTGATCTGAATCCCTACCCGTTGTCACTATAAGATATAAATGCTGCATGTTCATGTAATGGAACATCCCAGCAGAATAAGTGTGCAGAAAGTTTACAAGTTGGACAGGTGGAAGTATTGTCTTCGCATTAACAAAAAAACCAGGTTTGTATCCAGATACTACAGGTATTACCTGGAGAAGAGTAAAGCTTGAAGCTAGTGCTTTCATTGTAACAGTTTGTACTCTTTGCTTGAGATAATGATGAAAAGTTTGAATTGTTTACATATTGTACTTCACTGACGATTCCAGGACTGCATAATTCATCCATGTTAATACCATTCCACAACAAAGATTCACAATCTTGATGAATATTGTGACTGAAAGCCAAATGTCTTCACTTTTCCAAATCCAGCATTCAGAATGCACCAAATGGGCTTCCGGAACATCTTGTCCTCCTCTTTCACGGGTCGTGACAGCCTCGCAGTTGGTAAGTGTTGGGCTTTGCTAGTCACTTTTATGATGAGTTAATCCTAGATTTTGATAATTATGAATTTGTAGTCCAGTGAACATTTTTCATTTCTGCTTGCTGCAGTTAGGTATTCTGAACTTGGTAAAACTGGTTATCCTCCATGAAGGGTAGTTTCAGCCATGGTCTTTTCCTGAAGTAATTAGTTCCCGATGGCGACAAAGCCAATGCTTAGAACTGAATTATTTCTCTACAACGAGAAAAAAACAGACAAATCAGCAGGCGCAGAAAGCAAGATTCCAGCAAGGAGAGTGTTTTCTGTGTTCAGGATTCTCCCTGCTTAACTTCCCTTGCTATGGCATCCGTTGTACGTGCTTTTGTTAAAGAGTACTTAAAAATATAAATTTCATGCTGTCATGTGGTGGAAATTTCTGTTTTTGATTACCGTGTTGGGTGGGTCAGAATGCGCCGTTGGTTTGTGGTGATAACTTATGGAAGTCTCCTCAACGCTTCGTATGGAAGGTCAGTGTAGGTGAGGTGGCTCCCATTATACATCGAGAGAGCCGAGTATACGAAGTGTCGTGAAAGAGACTGTTGGTGTACTCGGTAAGCCGTAGAAGTCACCAGATGATAAGAAGTCAGCCAGTAACCGACCAAATTCAGAGGTTGATTTGGAGGCCTTAACTTTAGCTGGAAGTCTGTTCCACAACTGGGAGAATTTGACGGCAAAGAAGTTTGTGCGCAAGCAAGACTTGAACGATTTCACTGTGACGCTATGGGCGTGGTTGCGCAGATCGTAACAACTACCGTGTTCGAAATGAAACCCACCACTGGCTGTAAACGTGTGTTTATATAACACATTAAAGAAGTGTCAGGTCAATTTTGAGTCGTCTCATCCAAAGTGTTTCTAGACTTAGTGTTCTGCATCTGGAGTTGTAGTCCTGTTTGAAATCGTGTCCTAGCAATCTACCTGTGAAATACCTATGAACACCCTCTATTTTATGTTTGTCCATTGCGCGGATACCACTCAGCATAAATGGACAGTATTCTAACAGTGGACGTAAGCGAGTTTTGTAGAGTAGTATCTTGACTTCTTCGAAGTGGAAGTCACGAACTACGCAACCCATCAGGATCCTAGATTTGTGAGTCTGTGATGCCACCTGTTCAGAAAATGTGAGGTCCCTTGAATATCTTAGTCCAAGGTCACATACACTTTTAAGAACAGGAAGTTTCGTAGACTGAAGATGCGGTTGGACACCCACCGATGGAGAACCAAAACATATCCCGCCACATTTGCCTACAATGAACTGAAGTT